AATCATTCTGAGCTTGGAGGACATGTACGCAAGTAAGTACGTGAGGACCAGCCCTCGCTCTCCGCGGCATTTGTCCCGAAAGTCTATGACTTTCTCTGCCAGGGGCCCAGCCATAGGGGCAGGATTGGGACTCCATGGAGGAGCAAGAGCAGACTGCGTGAGGATATGCCAGTATGGGTGTGCAGTCACCTGAGGTAGGAGTCCTTAGGCTTCAGGCTGTGAGGTCATTCCAGGAGAACATGCTTACAAGAGCGAGAGAGCTGTGAGGTCAAACTTTTTCTAAAGGGGCACCGTGGGTGGGAAGGCAGCACCATAGGTGAGAGTGCCCCCAGGACTCACTGCATATGTGTGTGAGTGTGTGTGTGTGTGTGTGTGTGTGTGTGTGTGTAGGTGTGTCCAAACTTTTGCGGTGAGATCATGCTTGCTGTGTTGTGTATGGGTGTGAAGCCACATTAAGTTGTGTGTGTGATGATGGTGGTGAGGTAGCCCCTGCTGCCTCAACCTAAGCATACTTTCCCCACAGGTAGTACCTCATCTGAGTCATGCCCTTGCAGCCTTCTGGTTCAAATCAGGAGGTTCAAATCAGGAGGAACTAGCCCCAAGTGGTCTAGGAAGCTGGGCAGAGGCATCTTGCCCTGTTGAGGTGTGAGTATAGTGACCTTGGCCCAGGACAGGTTTATTCGGCCTCTGGGCATAACSCGTTATGAGCACCCCAACTTCGGAGGCGTGGGGGGAAAAAGTGTGGATACCGGGCCTGAGGGGATGTGAACGCCAGGAAAGAGGATCAAGAGAACTGAGAGGCTGGTGCGCTAGGGGTGAGGGATATTCCCTATGGTTTGGCTGGGTTGAGTTCCAGGATGCACCCCTTCCTCTTCCTAGGAGTAGGTTCCTTTCACCGGAGAGCTCCGGTTCCCAAGTACTCCTCTCAGGACCCTTGGCTCCCGCGAGTTCATCCGCACCCGAGTACCGGAATTTCACAGTGGCCTGGCCTCAAGCAAGAGAAATGATACCAAGGACACCACCCCACCCCAAAGCTAAGCGGATTTGTATAGTTTATTTCGTTTTGGGTTTCAAATATTTTCCCCTAAACCTTTGTCCAAAAAAAAAAAAAAAAAAACGCTCTGGGAGCTGGCGCCTGGAGGCACCGCGACCACCACCACGAAGAACACCCCCAACCCAAGCCAGGGCGAGGTCATAGCTGGGATTCACTGGGCAGCACAAGCTCTAGGTGTTGCAAGGTGGGGCCTGGGGCCAGTGCTCCCAGAGGACTTACTATCCCCAAAGCGCTGTCTTCACGCTCTCACAYCGCGGGAGCCCATCTCCTTTGCTCCTACACCCATTCACAGGGAGCCCGGGATCAGGATTGGATCCCTATCACAGACTGTCCAGGTCAAAGCTCCCTGGAGCCCGGAACCTGTTGAACTTTCTGGAAGTTCTCCACTCGATTCCTTTATACATCTTCCCCCAAGTCCCTCCAGCCTCATCTTCTGGGTTGACTTCTTCCAGCGGAGCATGCCATGGCTCTCCTGGGGTGTGAGGTTCTGGGGTCTGCGGAAGGAGCCCTGTTGGTGGTGCCTTCCTTCCCCAGTCCCTAGTTCCAAAGGTCAGAAGCAGCCAGATGGTCAGGGAGCCTAGTTCTGCTGGCGGCAGAGAATGCATCCTAAGGCCCCGAGGCCCTGAACCTATTCTGTGGGCCCAGTGTGTCCGCCCCTGAAACGGCATGGACAGACCCTCGCTCCTCTGGAGGTTCAAAGAGCACCGCAAAAAAACGCACGTTCGGGAGTGGAGGGAGAACGACGAGGAAGCTCACTTTTTTCATTATTTAAATGAATTTTCTTTACTCTGAAGGAAGAGAAAGAGAAAAAAAAAGTAGAGATTAAAAACGAGAGTGACAGAACATTAGCGCGTTAGAGGTCACAACAGGGGGGRAAAAAAGGCACAGAGCTAGAAGTATAGTTGGGAGGAACCAAGGGCGACCCTGCCCGAGGACCTCAGCATTTATTCCAGCAGTTGCCATTCTAAGGGTAACAACTCCAATTCGAAACCTGTTACCTCCTCTGCAGATGGAGCTGTTCCTCAGAGGTCAACACAGGTAGAATAAGGCGTAAGTKAAAACTGTTCCTGAGCAGGGGGCKGGGGTCCCGCAGCGACCTTGTCTTCTTCCTGGAAGTATCTAACGGATGCGCGAYCATCCATCCTTCAAGAGGATCTGGGGGAGATGCATAGACTTTTTACTTTCATTTGAAAAAAAGAGAGAGAGAGAAAGCCAAAGTTTTCGTTAATTTAAAACATCGACAAAAGAATCCCACCACCAGAAGAGAAACAGACGAAGAGAAATGAGGAAASTAAACAGTAAAGGGGCCGGAACGGGATGGGGGGGCGTGGTGGGGAAGGAGAGAGGAAAGCTTTGCTCAGAGCGCGCGGGGTTCGCCGCTGGCACCGACAGAAAGCGCAATCTCATTTCTTCTGAGCCCCTCTTTTAAAAACAAAAAAATACCAATAAACCACACTTACCCTCCTGGATGCTTAACGTATCAGGACTTTTAAAATGAAGGAATCGAGGTTTAAAGGCTTTAGGGAAAAAACAAAACCAAACCTCCCCAACTACCACAAACGCGTTGGACTTGGGAGCAAGCCGAATCACAGTCGAAGGAGACAGGAAACACTGCCTTGGCATTTATGCCATGATCACCCTCCCTTGCCCGCACCCGAGCCCCCGTTCTATTCCCACCCGACCGCGGTAATTGAATTGTCATATGCCCCYATCCCGCCCTAGGCCGCCAGGGCCACTTAGGAAGCTCGGCCTTGCCAAGCGCCCCCGGCCAGTGAGAGTGGTGCAGCCTAGCCGGCGCCCCAGAAGCGGAGGGGTTACACACGTCTACGTAGAGTCACACCGGACACGGTAATTAGGAGCAATTCACACGCTCTTGGGCGCACGGAAACTTCTTGTCACGATATTTTCAACGCTCCTCCTCGCCCACTTTTTTCCACTCCTTCCCTGGCGYGCCCCCTCCCCTCCTCGAGGCACACAGTAGAGCTTTTGGAGTTTCGAATCTTTCGGACACAGTAGAATGAGGGGCTCCCCGGGCGCGGGCCCGGCCAATCAGAGCGCTGTCTGCCTCCCCTGGCCAATGGCAGGCGCCACATTGTTGTCCAATTCTGTCTAATGGAGCCCTAAGGAGCAACAATAGAGCGGGCGAGAGGCTCATTGAGAGTCTGGCAGCGCCGGGCAACTGGGCCCCGGCTGAGCGCAGCGTCCGGCGCGCACCGCGAGGGGACCTGGCACGGCGAGAGCTTGATCGCGGGTTCCAACCAACCGGCCCCAAATCGGGTCCCCGGCCCCGATTTCCGACGTGAGGGTTGGACTGCGCTGCTTGCTGAGGGGGTCCGGAAGTTCGGACATGGTGACTGAAGGAGGGTGACGTGGTCAGATCAGGGGCCGGGGGCAAGGGGAAGAGGCCAAGAGTGCAAGCGTCAMGAGCAGAGCTGGGAGGCGCGTGCAGCGCCAGCGGAGGAGGAGGATCCCGGAGCCCAAGGCAGGTAGTTGAGGGCAGTCGGGAGAGCAGGGGAGGAGACCTGGCTTTCGGCCCCTGTTGAGAAGGCCCAGGTTCAGCGGGCCTAAGGGACTGCGCGGCCTGAGGGTCTGCGGAAACAGAGCACCCGCATACCGGGGGAGGTTTGGGATTCTCGGTCGGAGACACCAGGATCTGTCCTGGGCTCTCGTTGGGACAAGAGGGAGGGGAGTCCCGACAGAGAAAGCCTCGGCGGAACCTAGAAACTGGGCCTGCTTGGGCCTTCTGGGGCTTCGGCGCAGGTGGGACTCCTGCGTCCTTTCATGGCCAGTTTCGGAGGCAAGTCCCCTGCCTCGTTGCGGCCTGCTGGGCCATCCAAGTCCCCGGAACCCAAATGGGAGGCTGAAGGCGGGAATCTGCGCTCTAGCGGGGTCCCGTGGGGCCCCAGGATAAGGAGGGCGTGTCTGTACCCAAACTGTGAGGGGTGGGGAGGGCGGTGTAAGGAGGTCAGCGAAATAGATCCCCCTCAGCAATACCTAACTTTTCTCCGGATACTTCTTCCTACTCCAGGCTGCAAGGCTAAAAACTGCGCCACAGTTTTGCCCAATACCCACCACTAGCCTTTGCCTGGGTTTTTTTTCCTTACCTGTTTCGGGTGTCGCGCTGCGGACCCTGGGACTCAGGCACCTCTATCAGCTGTTTGTCGATGTTTTCCTTGCCCCTCAAACCCTGTTTGGGCTCGGTTTGCCTCCCCGAAGAAAGTTTCTTCTGCTGGATTTTCTCTTTAATAGTCCTCAAGTCTACTAAACTCAGCTCCACACCCATTTTCTCTCTCACTTTCTGGAGACCGGGCACCATGGAATCATACCTTTAAATGTCGTAAGGCCACAGGCCTAACTTTACTCTAGAGTTTGTTTCTTAGCYCGCACTCTACTATTAATGCGAAACTATTTCTGTTTTCAATTTCACCTCCAACTCTCCTGCCCCACATGAACAACAAACAAATAAAAAACAAAACAAACAAAGTCAGGCCCTCTCTGCCCAACTCCGCACCTGGACATTCCTCTCCTCTTCACCCTTCCACCAAACTGCACATTGTACTCTGGGTTTTCCTGTTTTGCCTCTGGCATGAGCTTGTTGGTCCAAAATTTGCTCTGTAATCTGACTCCCGTAATGCAAACATTTCACTCTTCCCATCTCACCCCAATTAACCTAAGTTTTGGGGAATAATATTGTCTTTTTAAAACTTTCCTTACATATATTTGAACCAGTGACTTCCAAACTTTATATGTCTTTTTGCTTTTTTTCCGGAGGAATCACTGATTCTAACAAAATCTTACCCCAGACGTGTAATGAATCACATATAAGAGCAGCTCATGGGAGTGYGTTGTGGAAGCTCCGATTTACTTCCTAATGCACACCCTCCTAGCAATTTGGCGACCACGAGCCAAAACTTCCACCACCAAGGTTTCTCTTTCTAAACTTTGGTTCTTGGAGACTGTGCTTTAGTCTAGCACACGGCGCTTTCCTTAAGCAGGTCTCTTCCACTTTCCCATCTTCTTCCTCGTCAGGTCGTGCCATGGAGCTGCGTTCGGAGCTGCCCAGCGTACCCGGCGCGGCGACCGCGGCGGCGACAGCGACGGGACCACCCGTGGCATCAGTGGCGTCGGTGGCTGCGGCTGCAGCAGCGGCCGCGTCGCTACCAGTGAGTGTGGCAGGCGGCTTGCTGCGGGCGCCGCCGCTGTTGTTGAGGGCGGCGGAGAAGTACCCGCGGACCCCCAAGTGCGCACGCTGCCGCAACCACGGGGTGGTGTCGGCACTCAAGGGCCACAAGCGCTACTGCCGCTGGAAGGACTGCTTGTGCGCCAAGTGTACRCTCATCGCGGAGCGCCAGCGCGTCATGGCGGCACAGGTGGCGTTGCGCAGGCAGCAGGCTCAAGAGGAGAACGAGGCGCGCGAGTTGCAACTGCTTTATGGCACTGCCGAGGGCCTGGCGCTGGCCGCCGCCAACGGCATCATCCCACCACGACCGGCCTACGAGGTCTTTGGCTCAGTGTGCGCCGCCGACGGCGGGGGGCCAGGAGCCGGAGCGCCCTCAGGGACCGGAGGTGGCTCAGCGGGCACAGGGGGCGCAGGTGAGAACTCGGTCAGGGATGGGGGGGGGGGAGCTGCAGGGTCCCAGCAGGGATGTGCGCCTAGTCTTGGTACTGGAAGAGTAGAATCCCTTTCTCCARACGTTTGAACTGCTGGAGTTCACTGCGCACGCGGCTCCAATATTGAGTACAGACACATAAACTCTCCTTCCTCCCCTTTCAGGACCATTTATTTGCACGTTCTTCCTTTCTCTTACCGGGCCCAAATGTGGAAACTTTAATCTTACTCTCCTCCACGCAGACGCAGGCAGGTCTCTACCTCCCTCCTTAYTTCCTTTTATCTATTCCGTGTGGCTCACGTCTTTTCCTTTGCTCAGCTTTCTCAGCCATCTTTCCCTTTGCTCCAACCCTACTATTTTTTTCATAAACCCGACTCCTTCCAAGCCCCTCCAAGTCTGCATTACTTTCTTTAGTTACTGAAGACACCCTCTTTCATTTTCCCAGGGAGATTCCTTTTCTCGCGTTCCTGATGCTCCCTGGACAACGGGTTGCTATGCCCCACTTCTTTCTCTATCAGACCTGGTTTTCTTAGAGTGCACATCTTCTGGCTTTCCTTTTCCTCATCTCTGTCTATTCCCTCCCTACAYCCACCTTCTTCTGTGCTCCTGTGGCTTTTTTGGGAGGACAGAAATTAGACTGGGGCTGTGGAACAAGGGGCTCAGCTCTGGAGGGGAGAACTTCTCTGGTCTCAGTTTTGGAGAAGGTGGATTAGAATATGGGATTTACTGTCTGTAGAGAGGCTTGTGACCTCCTTCATAATCATGACTACTGGGCTGCCCAGGAAAGGGTTGGCTCTTGGAATCCTGGGATGGAACAGGGTCTTCTATACAATGTGAGGTATGGTTAGAAGTTCTGCTGGGTCCTGTTTGAACCCTGGACCAGGATACTTCTCTAGGGGAGAGGGGAACTGGGAGATAGTTAAGAGTGGGGGTGTTGAGGCACAGGTGTGGCAAGAACAGTGCTGAATATTAAGATTACAGGGTCCAGTGGTAGGGGTTCTGGGTACAGAAAGAAAGTAAGCCCTAGGGGGCAGGGAATAAAGGAACATGGGAGCCTAGAGAGGGAGGAATACTGGAGCAAAAAACAAGAAGGGGCACTGGAGCCTCCTTAATACAGGTTTTGGGATTCTGAGAGGCAACTGGGATCCAAAGGGCTTAGGTGCTGTGGGTGCCTATTCCCCTTAATCACTTGTCACATCCTTATTTTCTCCCGTCTCAGAAGCCAAGTTGCAGAAGTTTGACCTGTTCCCCAAGACACTGCTTCAGGCAGGCCGCCCGGGCAGCCCACAGCCACCGCAGGTGAAGCCCTTATCGCCCGACGGCGCAGACTCGGGTCCCGGGACGTCGTCCCCAGAGGTGCGGCCCGGCTCAGGCTCGGAGAACGGCGACGGCGAGTCATTTTCCGGGTCGCCCCTAGCCCGGGCCTCCAAGGAAGCTGGTGGCAGCTGCCCAGGTAGCGCGGGCCCTGGGGGCGGCGGCGAGGAAGACAGCCCGGGCTCCTCCAGCCCTCTGGGCTCCGAATCCGGTTCCGAGGCTGACAAAGAAGAGACCGAGGTCGCGCCGGTTCCAGGACTGGGCGGAGGCCCTGGTTCACGGCAGCGGACGCCGCTGGACATCTTGACGCGCGTCTTCCCGGGCCACCGGCGAGGAGTCCTGGAGCTGGTGTTGCAGGGCTGCGGAGGCGACGTGGTGCAGGCTATCGAGCAAGTGCTGAACCACCACCGTGGAGGCCTGGCGGCCAGTCTGGGCCCCACTGGGATCCCGGATAAGGCTGCAGTGGGTGCAGCAGCAGCTGCCGACGACGCGTGGCCGGGCCGCGTGGACGCCGCTGCCGCTGGGGGGCCGCTGCCAGCGCCGCTGCAGGCTGGGCCCGCCGCACCCCCGCACCACAGACCCTTGCTGGCCGGCGCTATGGCACCCGGGGCGTTGGGCTCGCTGAGCAGTCGCTCAGCCTTCTCGCCACTGCAACCCAATGCCAGTCACTTTGGCGCGGATGCGGGCGCCTACCCGCTGGGTGCACCTCTTGGCCTGAGCCCATTGCGCCTGGCCTACTCCGCAGCGGCAGCACACAGCCGTGGCCTGGCCTTCATGGCACCCTACTCCACCGCGGGCCTGGTGCCCACGCTGGGCTTCCGCCCGCCTATGGACTACGCCTTCAGCGATCTCATGCGTGACCGCTCTGCCGCTGCCGCAGCGGCAGTGCACAAGGAGCCGACCTATGGGGGCGGCCTATACGGGCCTATGGTCAATGGCGCCCCAGAGAAGCAGTAGGACCAAGGGCCCAGCAGCCTGGCGGCTCCCAAACACTAACCCCAGCCTTGTTCCCGCGGGCCGCCGGCCCCACTTCTCCTGGCGCGCTCTTTGCGCCCTGGCTGGGGTCTTCTGGCTCGGAGATGTTTTTTTTTTGGTTTTGTTTTGGAGAGTGGGTGAAAAGAGCTGAGCAAAGGGGAGCATATAGAGGTGCAGGTGTTCTTGTAGGGTGTGAATGGCCTGGATCCTCATCCCTCCTTCCAGCAACCTCCACAAGTCTCGCTCAGCCGCTTTTTCAAAAAGCCAGGTATTCTGGAGAATTCAGAGGGCGGTTGCTCCTGCTGCTCCTTTAGCTACGCTCAACCCGCCCGCCCACGCTCTCAAATGAACTGCAGGCTAATCCGAGAGTTTCCTCTGTGTCTCCCCAATCCTCCCTTTTAAAAAGTTTAAAGTATTCGCTCTAACAAATATAAATTTAGGATGTACACATCTCTTGGCACTGAGTCTAGTCTTTGGGACACACACACACACACACACACACACACACACACACATATATCGATATCAATTGTTTTTTTTTTTTTAAGGAAACAAGTTCTAAGGTGCACTTTCCTCGTTGCGGTATTTGTCGCTCTCTTTGTTGCTTATGCCGATAAGCATGGGTTTCCTTGGTGCAGTGTGAGTTTTTATATATGTATAAATCTATATATAATCTATACATATATATATATACAAGCCAGTGTATAATGTTATAAAATGGAATTCTAAGTTATTAATTGTAATCTGTAGGTGACCTCGGTATTAACGTGAAAAACATTCAAAAACAAGCAAAAAAAAAAGGACAAAATGGAAAAATTAGACTATGCGCGCATTGTACCTATCAGGTTTTATAGATTAAATATACTGTAAACTCGGGACGAATCCTGCCCACCGCCCTCTTGCCTGCGGCCGGTCTTAAAGAGCCGTCAAGGTGCGCACTTGAAGCAGGAACAGAGCGACGTGTGACTGAGCCAGAAACGCCCGCTCGCGGGTGCATCCTCGCCTCCCGGGACTCGCCAAACGCCCTGGCGGAAGGGCCAGCAGCGAAAAACGCTGCTGCAGAAAACCGCTCACCTTGTGCTTTCCTTTGCATAGATAAAAGCTAGAAATAAATGTTATTTTCTAAGAAAACAATGCCGAATCCCGGCTTCTCAAGCGGCCGGGAGGAAAAGGTCTTGATTTTCCTCTGGGACCACGGTGCCAGGGAGAAATTTGACCTAGGCCCAGCCAGTGCTCCTAAACTCTAAAAGGTTACGGGGAAAGGAAGCTGCCTCAAAACTCACGGAATAAGTGCATCCCCTGCGCAATCAGGACCCTGAAAACATTTAGGTCCAGCGCGCGAGCTGTGGTGGGGTGGCCCTGGGTCCGGGGACGCAGGCTGAGCCTTCACAGGGGTCCTGCTAGGCTAGGGAGCACTTCCCGCTCCCCCCCCTCCCCGTGCAGATTTGGGTGCATCCGCACAGAGCCGGTCTGGCGGCGGCTGGACAGGGATGGTTTCCACCGTTCTCCAGTTAGGGCCTGTGGCCTGGGAGTTGTTTTGGGGTGGTGGCCATGAGGACTCCCTTCGGGCCAGAAGTCGTCCCCGCAGCCTATTACCTTTCCTTCTCACACAGACCTGAGTAAATTAGGCTTCTGAACCGACCCCCTCCTCCAACCTTAGGTCCCTCCAGTACTCTGCAGTGTGACTGCCCCTCTCTAGGAAATAGGGTGCCCCCTCCCCTAGGCTGGGGCCGGCGACATCCCAAGGTAAACTTCTGGGGCCAGCGCGAGTTCCGCCAGGCGGTGAAACTTAATAGCAGGACAAGAAAACGGTTTAATAAAGAAGGGCTTTAATAGGGAACTAATTTGATTGAGTTGCCTAATTCCACTTTAATTGGAAAGGGGGTTTGGCTGTTTGGTTATAAAGTGCGAGGGTGACGATGAGATGGAAATGGGGCGGGGGGAGAAGGAGCTGCAGAAGAAAGATGCGAGCAAGAGAGAAATGGGGCGGGAAAGGGAATTAAGATAGGAAGGAATGAAAATGGAGAGAAGAGGGAAAAGTTAGAAGATAGAAAGGTGGGAGAGACTGTGTAGGAGTTTCTAGAAGTGTGGACTTTGTAGCCCTAGGCTTCGGTGTCCTCTCAAGCATCCCGCCCCCTCCCCCAACTTCAAGTTTTCCTGAGGCCTGGGGCCTCACTCGGCCCGGCGGATCCAGCCGTCCCATCCCAAGCCTCTGTCCCCACCGCACCTAAGGTGAAGCTGTTTGGTCAATGTCTCTTGCTTTTAAGAGGAACCCACACTTGCCCTAGGCTCCTCAGTTTCTGCGAGTGTTCTGGCCAAACCCAAGGTTCATTTTCAAGAACATCTGGAGCTTCCACAGACTTTGAGATTATTATTTGTAATTCGTCCTCACATCAAACTGGGAAGAATCCAATGAGTTGTTCATTACCGGCCCCATTTTACAGAGGAGGAAATTGAGGTTCAGAGGGGTTCAAGGACTTCTACCCTCCGGATCTCCTGTCCTCTTCACGACCCCAGTGGGCCTTCTCCTTCTCATGAAGCGGTCTCTGCAGGCCAATGGTGGGAAGTCTGCGAAAACATCCCACTTTGTTTGTGTGTACTGTGACTCAGAGAAGAGATGTGGCTTGTCCCGGAAAGCCCTGATATCCCAGAGAGTCTGTGCCAGCATCTTTGCTAGAGCTCAGGAATGGTTCATGCACAGTGGGAGCTCGAGGGGTGTGTCCTGGGGTCCCCAGATTCCTCTCCTCCCTGGCCAGGCCCATCTCCGTGGACAGGACAGAGCGATTAGCCTTTGGACCCTGGCAGTCCTGCGGCCGTGGCGACCCCGACCCACTACGCACCGCATGGTCAAGAAAATAGGCGCAGAGACCAGCAATAAAAGGTCCAGGATGGCTCATCCTGACCCCAGGAGCCCAATTCAGAACACAGGGCGCTCCCACCGGGGGGCTAGGTGGCGGGGTGGTGGGTACTGTGGGAAGGCAGCCAGGGGCTTCTCGGGTTCTGGGAGCTTCCACAGCGGGCGGGCGGGGACTGTGGCGGGAGCGCGGCGGGATCCGCGCCGGGGAGGAGCGTGGGGCAACTGGGTCACCGCTGGAGCAGGTAAGGGAGAGACCAGCGGAGTGACCTTCTCTCTTTTTCTTCCGGGAGCGGAAGGGGACCTCTGTTGTCCACGTTTATTCACAAATTCTCCCCGAAGGCAGATGGAGCCAGCGATGGCCTGAGCACTAGGAGGACACCGACGTGGGCATAGTCCGACTGTTGTGGACACAGTGGTTTAAAAATTATTGATCTCTTCCTCCTCCTCCTCCTCCTCCTCCTCCTCTGCTTTCTTCTCTCCTTCCTCCTTCTCTGAGCGCCTGGTGTGCTAGGTCCTGTCCTAAGCAGGTTCCCCAATCCCGTTCAGGGGGCGAGAATGAGCCAAGAGCGGAGGGCCAGGTTCTGCACTGGCTGAGGTCATCCACTCACGGATGACCTCAGTCAGTAAATATTTACGAAGTATGTATTTACTGTATGCCAGACCCAGTTCTAGGACCTTGGGATGCACAAGTGCATGGCAGGCGCCATCCCGCCATCCCGCCGTCCCGGCCTTTTCAGTGTGCTGGGGGGAGGAGGGGCGTTAACGCCACAGGAGGAGGAGGCCCTCATCAATCCGGGAGAGGCGGGGTCAGGGAGGCTGCCCTAGGAAGGGCAGGTGAGGCTAGGTGCTTAACCTGCCTGCCTCCTCCATTAAATAGTGCTAATGTTAGGGTCTGTCTCTCTGGACGCTGTGAAGATTACATGAAATAATGTGTAAAAAAAGCTCTTAGCCTACTGCTTGCCCACAAGGTAATCACTGTTATAATACTCATATCTTTTGGTATCGCTATTGTCCCTCTTCACAGAGAAGTAAACGGCTCAGAGGGATTGAGTGACTGGAGCAAGCTGTGCTTGTAAATCCTCTCACGTGTCACAGGTTATGGAAGCCACTCTGTCCAAAGCAAGGGACCACAGAGACAGGAAAGTGTGGTTGTGGAAATGCTTCTGAGAGGAGACAAGCTGCAGCTGGGTCCTGAGGCCTTAGTGAGGGGCAGCATTGCCACTGTGGTAGGAAGTTGGTGAGAGAGTGAGGAAGAAGGAAGTGGGGAGCGGAGTCAGGTGTAGAGAACCTTGAGGGCCAGTGTGAGGGGCCTGRGTTTCTGAGTGAGGGTACTGAGAACTGTTGGCAGTAATCCCTGTTGAGATTTGCATTCCAGTTCGGAAGATTATTAGGAGGAAAGCCAAACCCCCTTAAGGAGAAGCCATGAAAAATGATAGTTCAGAAGAGGTCCCTTCAAAAACTGAGAGGGGCTGGCTGCCTGTTCCTGTTAACTATTGTTGCATAACAAAGGACCCCCAAATARAATGGCTTACAACAATAACCGTTTTATTATCTTATGATTTTATAGGYCTGGAATCTGGCTAAGATTTGGCTAGGTCATCTTTTGCTCCATGGTTGACTGAGATATCTTGGTGGCACTCAGCTGATGGAGGTGTTGGCCTGGAGTGTCTGAGATAGCTTCAGTCACCTATCTGCTGCCTTGGTGTGGATGACTGGAGGGTGGRGTTCTGCTGGAGAGTAGAGTGGAGCCCTGTATGTAGTCCTTTCATCATGGTGGCTTTAAGGGATCAGACCTATTACAGGTGGATTGAGGGCTCCAAGGCAGATGTTCCAGCAAGCAAAGAGGAAGCTGCTCGGCTTTTATGACCTAACATTATAGATCTGAGATTGTGACAGGATTATGATGTGCAAGTGACTGACACTCAAGTCACACTGACATGAAAAGAGAGAATTGATTTATCTTTCTTCTCCTTCCCTTCCCTCTCCTTGGTCTTCATCACTCTATCACTCTTACAAGTAACATGTGGAGTGTCTCTCAAAAATTGCTGGAAACAGGTGCTCAGATGCTCAGATGACTTCAACTGAGCTGTTTTTTTTTTTTTTTTTTTTTTACCTCTTAGATCACCTGTAGCTTATGTTGTCTTCATAAGATGCCTTTCTTTGTATGAAGACAAAGGGGTTCTTCATGGCCACCAGTATCCTATTTTCTGTCCCTGTAGTTAAACAAAACATCTTGGAGTTGACCCACTGAGTAGGCTTTRTCACCCTTCTACTCCCAAATCAATCTCATGATTATATGGTTATATCCTATCCATGGTCGCACTCCTGAAGTACAACAGGAGGCTGCTCAG